ATCAGAAAGTAGATGAGTGGTTTCCTGTGGCTAGGGATGGCTGTAGGGATTGACTGCAGAAGGGTTTGTGGGAATTTGGGTGAGGCGATAGAAATAATTCTAAAGCTCTTTTATAGTGCTGATGGTGCAACTTTATAAACTTACTAAAAACTGTTCAATTTTACACATACAGTGGCTAATTTTATGGTATGTATGTATTCCTTTAAAAATCTGGGGTTTTTATTTTGTTTTTAAAGAATCAGCTATATTCTATCCTGTCAGAAAAAAATGTTTCAAAGTTTGTGATCTGTATGAGCTCTTAGGGATGACTTAAGCACATGTCTTTGCCCACTTTTTTTTTATTGCTTTTCTAGAGAGAGAGGGAGAGAGATAGAAACATTGATGTGAGAGATAAACATCGATTGACTGCCTCCTGCATGTCCCATACTGGGGATCAAGCCCGAAACCTGGGCATGTGCCTTGACTGGGAATTGAACCGGGACCTCTCAGTCCATGGGACTATGCTCAATCCACTGAGTCACACTGACTGGTCTGCCCATGTGTTTTGTAACACTATCTAATTTAGCAGAAATGCAGGTGTCACCTGTGAGTGTATGGTGCATTTAATAATATAATACACACTCTCTGACCACAAGAGGTTTATCTAGAAGTGATGAGACTTTGAATTAAGATATTGATGAGGGGAGGGAGGTAAGACGTTGTTGAGGAAGAGGGAGGAAAGGCCTCTAAAAATTATTTAGGAGGTATTGTCCATTTTGCAGTTTCTTGTAAGAATTTCCCAGGGTTTCTAGTTCAGGAGAGTTGGTGATTGGAATTGCCACCAACCAAGATAGGGAATACAGGATCATTGTGCAGGTAGGAAGGGTACATGATAAATCTGAGGGAGAAAGACTTGAATCTGACAGCCCTCGAGGGTCGCTAGAGAGTGAGTGGAGTGAAAAGAACTGGAGTAAGATGTGGTTCAGATACCAGTGTCAGAAAGTCATACAATCTTTATTCCTCTACAAAAATGGGGCAATACCTACTTTAGAAATCGTCAAGATTAAGTATGTAAAGTACCAAAGGCAGTGTCCCGTAGACACTAAATAATCATTAGGCCTAAGGAAGAGCTCAGCATGTCATCCAGGTTCAGAGAAGCCTGATTCGGGCATTCTGTCTCAGCTCTTTAATGGCTTTCCTCCTTAAATAGTAAAATGGCATTCTGACTGATGGCAGCCTCTTGAGAGTTTGGACAATGTAAGTCAGTAGTAAATTGTGTTTCTAGCCCTGCAAAGCTAAGGCTTAACAGGAACCTAACATCCGTTCAAAGGTTTTCTACTTCTCAAGAACTTTGACACCAAGTGTTGGTTTTCTTGTTTTTGTGAGATTTCATGGCATGGTAGCTTATCTTTTTTGGCAAATAATAATAGTTTTCTTATAAAAACTATGTTTTACAGTTTCATTCAATAAATAAAATAAACACTATATTTTCTATACATATATAGGACTCTATACATGACAACCACAATTAGGAATGGTGATTCTGCACTGATATTTTTGGTCTTGAAAATGAATCATATCATTGAATCCAGTAAAAATAAAAGAGTAAAAAAAAATGGACTGAATTTGAAGCAGGGAGGAGAAAGTGTGTTAAATCCATTCACCCCATTTAGGAATAAAGAGCTTGCCTGTATTCAGTAGCAAATGGGCACAGCTGTATTGTAATTTGGGAGCAAAAATAGAATATTGTAGGCAGAAGGCATAGGGAAAGTTCATTTTTGAAGTCCAGTAAATTTTCCACAATAGCATTGTATCAGCCATGGTCATTTCAAAAACATCTAGTTTCCTGTATTATGGTCGAAATAAATCACAACATGCATGTTTTATTTAAAAGTTTGAAGGAAAATTGGCTTTAAAGTAACAAGTTCCAGAAACCCAAGCCGGAAGTTAAATCACTGTACAAATCCTAGTTTTCAGAGAAACATGAAATATCAGTGTTATTGGTGGAAGTAGAGTTCTTGGGGTGCCTCAAGGAAAAGAATTTTCTGAGGCCCCCATGGAAGGATGGGGGTCTTGGAAATCTTTATTGATGATGTAAAATTAAGGCAGTTCCCTTCCAAGGTCCCATGTCTATTCATCTTGTCAAGGAAAAAGTCCAATCTTGTCTTCATAATAAAGGTCACTGCCCAGAATTTCTGCTCCATATGAATGTACAGTCCAGTCCAGCATCGGGTTAACTTAGCTTGTGTTCCCAGCTGCAGTCAATTGTGTGTGGGATCCACACAGCCATGGGCCATGTGGCTGCTTAAGGCCACATGGCTATGGATAGAGAACAGGTGAGTGGACTAGTGAGTGCAGGAGCCAGATAGAACAGGAGTGAACAAGAGCAAGAGCCAGAGAACTCTGGGGATTTTTTACCAGGAGTTTCTTCAGACTAACCAATTAACTTTCCAAGATCTTGCACTCTTCTGATGGCATCCTCTCCCTAGCTAATCCTTTGTTCCCCCGGCTAGGCCACCAGTCATGCACCTTCCCTACATCACCCCGACTTCTCTTGTGCATGTGCCTTTCTCCCCCTTCTCTCCACAGCATTCCAGTACCAGATGGGGAAGGGAAGGGTGTTAATCCCTTTGGAGGAATAATACTGTGTGAAACTGTAGATTCCTGGTGAAACTTCCCAGGTGACCATGCTTATAAAGTCTGGCCTCCCCTTACTTTCTTTCCTTTATTAATATTAACTAGCTAATTATGACAATAACATGAGGACTGTGTCTTTATTATTTTTTTTTTATTATTTATTTTTTATCCTCACCTGAGGGACACTTTTCCATTTTTTTGTTCAGGTAGAGTGGGAGGGAGAGAGAGGAACAGAGAGAGGGAGAGAAACATCGATGTGAAGGGGCACATCGAGTGGCTGCCACCCGCACAACCAACCATTGCCGGGGACAAACTGCAACCGAGGTACGTGCCCTTAGTGGGAACCAAACCCAGGTCTCTCAGGACCGCAGGCCGACGCTCTAACCGCTGAGCCAAACCGGCCAGGGCGAGGACTGTGTCTTTAAAGGAGAGACTATAAAACCTTGTTGTTGATTCTTTTCTGTAAGGACCAGTATTAAGAAACATGACCAAATACAACTGCTCACAGGGTCACTGAATGATTTATTTATATCAAGTGTCTTAAACTCAGATGTCTTAAAGGTGAAATAATTATGTGATACAGAGTGGAGACTGAGCAAATGAAATAACCTTGGGGGTAAAGTTGCAGCTGCCTCTCAACTGTAGTTGGTTGTTGCCCTGAATACATGCTCATGTTGTCAGGTCTCCCTGCTGTTTAAAAAAAATAAATAAAAAAGCCCAAAATACTAGTTCTTTAGTGAAATATCTCAAATTTTAAGTGGTAATTTTATTTTCTTAAAAAACTGTGTGGGCCAAACAAAATATGGCCACATGTGTTTTGTGAGAAAAGGACTATTTGTCTACTTTGTTCACTGCTATATCCCTACACCACCAACTGAATTCAGATTTGCAAACTGTGACCTTTATGTAACAGGATTGTGTTCTTAAGCATCTGGAAAAAGTAATGCTATCATCTGAAGGGCTGAAACAATAAGCAATAAATCTTATCTGTTGTCCTTTTGCAAACAGATAGAAAGCTACATATTTCTTAAGTCTTGGTGTTTTTACCCAGGGTTTATTCATTGACATTCTTGTTTGTGGACTGGTTTTCCTTTTACCTGCTACAAATTGTAATAATATTTACCATTTGTTTTTTCATTCATTATTAAGCTTCCATATTATAATGGTTAATGGGAGTCATAATGATCTTCGTGATAATGACATTTCTGATGCCATCAGGACTGCCTAGTGGCTAAGGAAGTTCACAGATGTAAGGAGGAATGGAACTTTAAAAAATTTTTATAATGGAATTTCCCCAAATTTAAGATGACAGTGGATTCTTATATTTATTTTTCATAGTGGCAGTTATATCAGCTCTGTATGCCATTCTAGAGACATGTAATATTAAGTATTTAAAACATAGGAGCTAATAACTACACCCAGGAGTAAATTCTTTTTTAAATGAAAGCTATAGTATATTCTTGACTATATCTAGATCTAAGCTGGATTCAGAGCCCCTCACCCCCACCCCTTGTTTCATCACTTCTGTGACTTACTGAATCAGTATGATTTATTACTTGTAAGTTAATTTATGTAATAATGGTTCATCTTTTCCTTCTTTGTACTTGCTTTCCTAGCCAAGCCTAGACTATCTCGAGTGTCCTCTTAGAAGAAGGCAGTGAGTGTAGGGTAATGGAAGAAGTTTGGTTTTGAGTTGGGTCAATTGTATTTCAGTTATGATTTTTCTGTACTTGAAAGCTGTAAACTAGGACCAGTGAATATTCTTGGATAATCTATGAAATGGGGGCAATAACCTCACGAGTTGTGATGATTTTGAAATAGCACCTAGACGTACAGTGCTCCACAGACTCAAACTTACTATAATGTTAGTGGCATCACCCCTCTATGATTGTAGAGCCACATGATGACCGGAAACCCACTTGTTTTCTCATCGCCCCCTTTTCTACTCTTATCTGATCATCCCACTCATGTCCCACAAGTATTTTTTCAAATTACACATACTCAGAATGTATACATAACACTTAAGCTAAACCTTTTTTCTCACCTCGCTCCTTGTGCTTTTCATCTTTCAGTTTCTGATATTCCACTTTCTTCCTGTTTTTTTCATACCAACCAAAAGAGAAGTGATACCATTTCTTTTCGTGCCTAAGCATGTTTACTCTCTTGGCTTACTGCTTCTAAAATATCCTTAGCTTACATGTGCCTTTTTATTTGTCCAGTGCATGAACCTTGGATCCTTTTGTTCAGAGTCAGCTGTTTCATATATTGAATACTGCAAAGCAGAGATCATGCGTGTAAATGGTTCTCTGTGACCCCCACCACGTAGATACTAACAGATTGTTAAAATCATAATGTATTTATTGTCCTTTTCCATTTGCTCCTAGGTTTTTGAGAACTTCAACTATAAAAATGGGCAGAATTTTCCTTGATCATATCGGTGGTACCCGTCTGTTTTCTTGTGCGAACTGCGATACGATTCTGACCAATCGCTCAGAGCTCATCTCCACGCGGTTCACGGGCGCCACTGGCAGAGCCTTTCTTTTTAACAAGGTTTGTGGGAAATCGGTTTCATTCCTACGCAGGTGGAGTGGTGGACATACTCGAGAGTAGTACCAGGATACGCAGAGCTTGGAGATACCAGGAAGGCTTAGAATGAGAGCTGCAAACTATAGATATTACCCCCACTACCTTGTCTTTGAGTGGACCTTAGGGAGGTATTACTAGAATGTGATTTTTAATCTTGGGAGTTGAAAGGCTGTTATAATAAGAAGGGTTGTCTCCATTCAGAAAACACTCAGTGTAAGAATTTAGTAGTGACTTCACGGACTATGGAAGGAAGGGACTGAGACATCCCCATATCCATGTCACTGATTTATCTTTAAAGGGAGAGAGCTGCATTGAACTTCAGAGCTTGACAATGCAGGTGAATAATGATCATCTAACCCACTTCCCTTGCTCTAATTTATGCTCACCAATCATCCCTCTGATTATGATTTAGTTTATTACATGGGTTTGCCAACAGGAAATTTCCTCATTTACAAATAAATGTCTAGTCTACCTGCTTCTCTAATTTCTGGCTTGCTTTGAAATTGTTCGATGTGATTTCTGCCGCCTGAAGTCTAAGGTGGTGTACTACTGAAGCTGAATTTCCGAGTCTTGCAGGCTAAGGAACAGAACTAGTGCAAGGCTATTACTCTCAGAAGGTCAGCTTAACCTCCCCAGTGGACACCCATCCGTTCAATTTAGAAACAAGTTTTTCTCTCAAAAAATTAGTAGTTTATACTCCTTGACCTTTATTTGGGTATAGGGCAAGAGCTGGCATACTGTGGCAGGCCAGCTTTCTGATTTTTTAAATTATTTTTTTATTTTTTTTTATTTTTTATCCTCACCCAAGGACATTTTTGCATTTATCTTCAGGTAGAGTGGGAGGGAGAGAGAGAGGAAGAGAGAGAGAGAAACATTGATGTGAGAGAGACACATCAAGTGGTTGCCGCTCACATGACCTCAACCGGGGCCAGGGACAAACTGCAACCGAGGTACATCTTCTTAGCAGGAACCGAACCCAGGCCTCTCTGGTCTGCCAGCCGACACTGTAACTGCTGAGCCAAACTGGCTAGGGTGGCTTCCTGGTTTTTTAAAAATAAAGTTGAATGAAGCACAGCCATGCTCACTCATTTATGTAGTATCTGTGGCCGCTTTTGTGCTACAGCAGCAGGCTAAATCGTTACAATAAAGACCATATTGACCTCAATTTCGAAAATATTTACTATCTGGCCCTTTACAGAAAACTAAAAAATGGAGGATTGTTGGTTATTCGAAATCATTGGAATTCTTCACAGGTTCTTTGAACCCACTTGAAAACGTGGTAGTGCAACGTATAGTCTATAGAAGGCTTATCCTAGTCTGTATATAAAATTTATTTTCAGAAACTTGTTTGGCAAACTTTTTAATGAAATACCTGTTGTGTACTAGGTCTTTTACTTGGTAGCCTTGTTTGCACTCATCATTGAATGATTGGACCCAACCCTACAATTGGTGTTCCAAGTCAAGGACTCTTCACTACGAGTCAGAAACAGAACTAGTGTTTATAGTGTGGCTTGGACTAGTACAGTAAGTAATGCTTGATCACATTAGATGGCCAGTGCAGTGCAATTCCAGATGTTTATGTATCCCAGCAGCTTCTAAAAATGTCTCTTGGGAAGGGTGTTGTAGGTCTGACTAAAGTATCTGCTGTTTGCTTTTCTGAATTTGCTGTTTTTGCACCAACCAAATGTGTACTTTTTGGCAAATAATTTACTCTCCTTTGCAATTTTGTTTTCACGTGTTTTTTTAGGTAGTTAACCTGCAGTACAGTGAAGTTCAAGACCGGGTCATGCTCACTGGCCGTCACATGGTTCGCGATGTGAGCTGTAAAAACTGCAATAGCAAACTGGGATGGATCTATGAGTTTGCCACTGAAGACAGCCAGCGTTATAAGGAAGGCCGTGTGATTCTGGAACGTGCTCTAGTTCGAGAGAGTGAGGGTTTTGAGGAGCATGTACCATCTGATAACTCTTGAAGAAAAAGAGATAACTTCATCTTTTCCCAGGTCTCCTTCACTGAAAACAAAAATCTACTTACATACACTGTCACCTTAGCATCAGAGTCGGATTCATGAACTGCGGAACAAGAGGTTGTGAGAATCTAAGATGGAACCTTTCTTTCTTTCTTTCTTTTTTTAATTTTCTACTTTCCATCCAACAACAGTGTGTAGAGAGAATATTATGCAGATGCTGTTAAATTTTTTTTCCCTACTTTTACATCTTGAGGCAGAATCTTATCTGCAGCTACATGGTGGGCTAAGTGAGAAAAAAATCTGGGCTATTAGAGTGGAAAAGTGTGTTTTATGTAAATTTTGAAAGGACAATGTGTCAAGAGCATGGTTTTTAAACTTATTTGGGCTTTATTTTAAAACATTTTTTTAAAACCCAGTTACTTCACTTGATTTGCTAGCTTCAGAGAAGAGATCCGAATTTGTGACCAGCGCTAAAGGTTCAGTGTTAGTATGGCTTGTGCTGGCCGTTGTGCCATATTCTTGTTGGAGATGAACCGTAGCACCAGAGCCCATTCTTCCTTGTCAGTCTTGACCCAAAGATGTCACCATTCCTAGTTACTTGTCACCATGTAATTGGTGTTGATTGGAAACTCTTCCTGAAATGGGGCAGAACTGCTTGGTTGTCCTTTCCATGTAACTTAAGCATAGTAATATAAATAAAGTAATAGTTGAATGTCTTTGGTCCTGTGTTGCTTTTAAAAAATACCTTTTAAAAGAGCAGAGAATTTGATGAGTAATTTTCATAGTACTGTTTCTTTTCTCTTAGCTAAATTGACTGTGTATGAGATACTACTTTGTTTAAATTAAAGCATACTGTTTAAATCCACAGTATTGTATTTAGAAAACAGTTGAACAGAATGTCAATGTGCATTCATGCAGAAAGCATATCATCTGCATCTGTTCTAGAAGAGGGGGGAAATGAAGCAGCCTATCTAAAAATACTGCTCTGCAAAGCATTTCAGCCCATGCTCAGTTGTGATTTTGACAAGTCTGCAGAGCCTAATAATTTTATCAAAGGACTAGCTCTCATTAGCGTTATTTTCTCAGCTCTTCCCTAAGACATTTAGCTATTGAAATTGAAACTGTACTTGGTCCCTTCAGGTGGAAGGGGATCAAAATTGACTCAGGGTGTTATTTTAGCCCGAAATTTGCATTATGAAGTATTAAAATGTAAATGTTTCTTTATCCAAACTATTTCTAGATAGTCTAGTATTTGTTTCTGGTAGAGTAAATGACATTAAAGTTAACTAATTTGAACGGATGTTTAAGTGCTCAATTTCTAGGTCTTTGTCTAGAGAGGAAATTTGCCTCAATTAGCAAAATGTGTCATTGATATTAGAAGTAACTTGTGAGTACAGTTAAGATTAAGTTTCTCTTACTTGCCTTGGGCTCTTGGTTAGAGGCATAGGGATCTGATTAAGTAGGTGTATAATATTGCATTTGAGATAAGTTGATACAAATTCTGTCTTTCCGTCACCGTGGACTAAATCTTCAAGCATTAAGAAACAACATCCATTCCCATTCATTTCCATGCTGGCCTTTGATTATATGCAGATTCCTAGTAGCATGTCTCACCTATGGCACTGTGTGCATTTCTGTCATAATAAAGTATATTTTGTCTTGCATTGGTGCAAAACTGCTACTTATTTTCTACTGATCCTTGTCTAGTAATTACCTTGTCTTAGTTTTATCTATGAACACATACATCACACCTTTGAGTGGCTAGAGCTTGCTTCAGTCGGCACCAGGTAACACTGGTTTATTAACTCTACCTAATTTACACCTGGAGATACTGAATTTACTAGTATCAACTTCTCTTGAGATTATTTTGCTTCAGATCCTGACAACTACAAATAAAATGTCATATTGCTAGGTTAACTTTTAGGTGACAGGCAGGTACCACACAGTCAGATTGGATTCTTTACAGAAAAGCAAACACATGCACTTGAGATGGAAAAACCACTAATAAGAATGATTTTGCTTTGGGATGGGAAGATGAACCAAATACAGGTGGCTGTGCTGCACAAGTAGGTTACTGAAGGATGTACAGTTTAAGCTTTTTCCTTTGAAGACTAGAATCCTTCCTCTTAGTTTTAGGCGACAGTGACCGCAAGTTGATCGTAAACAAAGTGAGCGTTTTTATTTAAAGGACCTAAGGTGAATATTCTGAGTTAAAGTTTTGTTAGTAATTATGCAGTGATTTCAGTTACAATTGTGAGTAGCTGTTGTGAGATTGAGAGAAAGAGTCTGTTTTCTAAATTTACCTATTCATAAAAGTTATATGGGATGTTTCAGTGTAGAGGCTGGGCCACAGCACAGGCCTAAATCAGTCCACAGGTAATTTTTGATTGGGGAAACTACTGATTATGAAAAGTATTCAGAGACATATTTATGATGGCTCATTTTCATAATTATTTTCTAAATCTCACAGTTTAAACAGACACTCACTAATTGCATGTCTGAGCAGCTTCCCAGGCGTCACATTAAAACCCAGACTCATTTCTAATCTAGGGAAGGTGTAAACTGGAAATAGAGCAAGATTAAACTGAAAAACTCTTGTTTGGCCAGCACTTTGCACTGATATGAAGATACGTTACGGAAATAGCGCAGAGTTGAGAGGAGAAATTAGGGCGGATGCCCATCATGGATGGGGTGTGAGCGTATGGCTCCTTTGTTTTAAAATACTGCAATTTCTCAAATCGAAACTTCTATATTCAGGCGTGAAATATATTCCAAAAGCACCATGAAGGGTTTTGTGATCCTATTTAGTTTTTGTTTTTTCTTTAAAACTGCAATTGGACCACTTGGGAGTCTTGTTAAACAGTAAATTATGTCCCTATTCCCTCCCCCAGTACTGAATTAGTCTCTGAGTTAGAGCCAAGAAATCTAGATTTTTTTTATTTTTTAGCAAACTGCACAGATAAACCTATCTGCTAATACTTGAAAATCAATCATAGGGTTATTCAAACTCAATGTGTGGTTGTAGTGTGTTACCACCTGGTAAAAGAAGGTATTTGTCACAAGAGGCCCACAGGCTTAGAAGTGTGAATAAGAAAAAATAAACTATGATTTCCACCTGTTAAAAACAGTTAACTGACTTTTAAAGAGACAGTCAGTCTGGGAAAGAGTTTCTAGAAAGATCAATAAACTATTTTTTTTTGTTACTCCTCACCCAAGGATATTTTTCCATCGATTTTTAGAGTGGGAGGGAGGGAGAGAGAGAAACATGGATGTAAGAGATACATCAATTGGTTGCCTCCCCCATAACTCTGACCAGGGCCAGGGATCAAACCTGCAACCCAGTTATATGCCCTTGACTAGGGATCAAACTTGAGACCCTTCGGTTCATGGGCCCGTGCTCTAACTGTTGAGCTAAACTGGCCAGGGTGAGATCAATAGACTTTAAAGACCTGTCTTCAGTGCTGATTGTATTGGCTATGTGACTCTGGGAAGTGTGTGACTTAACCTAAGAAACTTAGTTTTCTCAAGTATGAATTATAAAAACATACCTTTAAAAACCCGTTAATTATTATGCCAATGTATAGAATAACTACTCTTTTTTTTTTTTTAAGTAATCCTGAACAACCCTTCACAATCTAATTTTTCTCTAAAGTAGATAATGACCAGAATGCTTACAAAGTTCATTAAATTCCTCCTGGTCTTGATATGTGCTGCTAAACCTTTAAGCAAATTAGGGCATGAAATCTGTTTATCAAGTGTTACTCTCAACCTTTTGCCATAAGGAATCTTTCATAATCTACTACAATAGACATTTTACTTTGCTTTCAAAAATTGTCGAAGCTCCTATTTCTCTCCTACCGTGGAGCAGGAGGAAGAAATGCAGAAGGCCTTTCCCTCCCAGTTAGGCAGAATTCTGCAAGACATTTTCACTAGGATATTGACTATTTTTCAAACCCGATTTTCTTTCTCCATTGACTAGTCACTTTTCAAATTCAATTTTATTTCTCCTGTGTTTATCTCAGCCTATCTCACACTACTATAATAGTCCAGTTTTTAAAGAATCCTAAGGTTGTGAGAGAAATGGTTTATATACCAAATCATCTCATTTTAATCCTCTGCCAGTTTGCCCTAAATATCAATAAGTCATTTTTTGTCCCTGGATTTAAAGCAAAGTAGAAAGACTAATTTCACCTAATTCAAAACATATCCAGAGTAAAGCCCAGGTTTTGAAAAAGGAGGTCTTTGTGTTCCTGAGGATTAACCAGAGGTTTTCAGGGATGGGTGCAGATGAAGAAGCCCCACAGGTATGCCCCGGAGCCAGGGGGTTACTTCACCTGTTCTCCAGAATTTCCTCTTCTGCCAGCTGTTGTGGCACCGTGGAGTGGCTCACCGCCTTCCCCACGAACCCACTCCACCTGTAGCCCTCCCGGAAATACCGGGCAGAGAGGACGCATTACTTTGAACACGTAATTCCATGCGTGTTTTCTGTCTCTGGCTCAGCCATGCTTTCCTAGGCTCTAACCAATCTGAAGGGGCTCAGCGGCCTTTCTGAAACCTATCAGTATGCCAGCAGGAGTAAGGATTTCAGCTCCTCAAGTCGGTCTTGGGTACCGTTTTAGAGTAGGTGCCTTCGGAAATGAGTTTCAAAGATTGGGGAGGGGTGTATTTAAGGAGTTGAGTAATAAGGAGTAAAACATTTTAGTGGTCCTAAAATTTACACTGAAGAAAAAGAATTTTTTAATATAACATTATATTCAGCTGGAATCCATCCATGCTACCAAAAAAGTACCAGCAGATGGCATGCGTATGCAAGAAATGTAGTTCTTAACTGTCAGTCTGACCTGCCTTTTGGAAAAGAATAACATCTAGGGCAGTTTGTTCTGGTCGCTAACCCGAAGTGAGCCGATGTGACTCCAATCTGGTACAGTCGTGGCGTTCAAATGATATCATATGTGAGAAAATGCTTTGGAAACTACAAAGTACTATATGAATAGTAGTTCCCAGTTTTTGTGAGAAGTCATTTTTTCTGCCATGTTTCAGTGTCTATAGCTTATATAACTTCAAAATGTTTTCAACATTTTTTTAATATTGGCATAAAAAATTTTTAAAAATTTATCTTTATTGTTGAAGGTATTCAGATGTCCCCGCCCCTCACCATTGCCCCCCCCCCCCACCCCATCTTGGATTCTGAAATTGAATCAACCTTATATTCTAAAGCAAGTTCCGGTGCCTTCACCGCACTGTTGTCTGTGTCCACTGGTTGTGCATATATGCCTGTAAGTTCTTTGGTTCATCTCTTCCCGTCCCCCTTCCCTCAGGTTTGTCAGTCTGTTCCCTGCTTCCAAATTTTTGGATCTGTTTTGTCAGTTTATTTTGTTCATTAGATTCCACAAATAAGTGAGACCATGGGATGCTTTCCTTTCTCTGACTGGCTTATTTTGCTTATTGTAATACTCTCCTGGTCCCTCCAGCCATCTCAAAGGCTAGGAGATCCTTCTTTTATTTGATAATGACGACCTGAGGTCGTAGAAAATTGAACGAATGTCACAGTGTGACTTTGAAGTTAGTTAACCTTTTGAAGCCTCATTTTCTCAACTTTAAAATACAGAAAATAATTTTTAGAGAACATGTGTGAAACTTATAAACCATCCAGTATTCCAGAAACATATTTCTATCAGTTGAGGGAGGTTCGGTGAGTTTTTAACTAGCATTGGCACCAGTTGCTAGAAAGTATGTGCTCGATCATGTGTCTATTCAGCAGCGTCTGAGTGCTGTCACGCCTGTCTGGCTGTATGTCGTTGGCAGCACCTGGGGCCCACCTCCCAGCCGCCGCATGAAGATGTTTGCAAAGCCCAGTAAAAGTCTTCAGAGCCACTATATTAGTGATGAATATATTCCTGCCCCAGGAAGTAAAAGACATTCCACATTAGGGTAGGTAAGTTCACGGAGCACAATAAAAGACTGCGTTCTTTCAGCAATTGGTTAATTTCTAAGTTGGAAAAGAGGAAACCTTCCAGGTTAAGGGAAAATAGCATAATCTTTCCATACACAATGGATTCTGAAATTGAATCAACCTTGTATTCTCAAACAAGTTTCATCTGTCTCCCTTCCAGAAGCAAATACAATCAGCATTTTCAGGGCACATGGCAGTAAGAACACCAGCTCACTGACAGCCATGCCCAGCAGAGGACTTCCATAATAGAGGTGGGCGCAGGGCTCGGAGGCTTGGCACCAGAAATGGCCAGGTCAAGGGTTCTTGAGTCAGACGGTGGAGAGGGAGGGAGAAGAAGAGCGAAGGTGAAGGACGTGTCTATTCACAGGACCTGAAATGTAGGCATTCTCTGAGTAGTGATCTCAAACCCGAACATCTTTGGATGCCAGAGAGTTCGTTGAAATGAGGAGAGCGGGCCTTGTGTAAGGCCCTGAAAGTGGGGTCACCGGTCAAGAGGGAGACGTGTGCCACTTAAACACGGCCACTCTCAACTGAAAACAACTCCTGGCCAAACACTGCTTATTCTTTGGGCCTCGGGGGCTCCAGTTTATATCCCTCATCTAGCCCAACCTCTCACGTCAAACATTTGGACATTAGGCCCGAAGGGGTGAAGTGACTAAACCAAGTTCTCCTGCAAGCAGTAGAGAGAAGACGGCTCAGGGTGAGGCAGTT